CCACCATGTAGTTGAAAATGCGGCAGAGTTGTTCGCGAGACCGGCCAAACATTGACAGCATGTCGTAGTACGTGATGGGGTACCGGAGGCGTCGGAGCAAAATGGCTATGGCCTCCACACCCACCATACGATCTCGGTTGGTAGTGATAACGACATTAGGAACGCCCAGCAAGGATGACAGTTGCAGAACCCCACGGAACGACATGTGCGCGTCAACATCACGTATGTTGAAGTCGAATCTTACATCTGGAATGAGGGGCCGTTCCACCGGGATGCCAAGACCGTACTCGAGTAGCGTCATCATCGTAGTCGGGTGCATCTTTTTGCGCTTTGCCCATTTGTACACTCGAAGCGCAAGCTGAGACTCCTCTGTAGTCATGTTGGCATGTTGGCGAGAACTTCAATAACACGCCCATTGGACTTGTGTTCTATTAATACAGTGCTGGACAAAAAGGGTTGGTACACTTGATTTTTACTTGCATCTTGTTCAATATTTGTCCAATCAACACGCGTTAAGGATCAGCTTCATCCAATGAAAGAGACGAATACGTTGGTATATTTATATTACAGGCACGTTGTATACGTGCTGAGTAATGTTAAAAAAAGTTCGAACGATTGGTTTTTACACTGGACAAAAAACATTGGTACAGAATATTTAAACTCACGGCAAACACGAAGTTTTGATCTTTCGTTCGTGAAATTTTACCTCAGTACTTAGTACAACATCCTTTTCCACTCAAGACATCGATGCACCTAAACTTCATGGAATCTACAAGTTTTAACAAGTACGATCGATCGATGGCGTCCCACTGACGCAAAAGCTCGTCTTTGAGGTCAGCAACCGTTGCAAATTGCATCCCATTCGCATAGACCTTACGGGCCAAATACCCCCAAAGGTTCTCGATCGGATTGAGGTCAGGAGAGAGCGACTGCCAACTCAAAACGTCGACATCCATGTCAGCCAAAAACGCTGTGGTCTCTTTGCTGGCGTGGATGCTCGCATTATCTTGTTGAAACAAGAAGTCCTCGACATGCTCGGCATGGGCAAAGGGAAGCGTGAAGTTGGCCACGGTTTCACAGTAGGCAAACGAATCTTGGCGGCCAAGAAGGATCGCGAGTGACGTGCGGCCCTTGGACGAAAATCCGCCCCAGATCATGACACTGCCGCCGCCGTTTTGGCGACTCAAAAACGTCTGATCTTCCTTCCGAAGATCGTGCCAGTAGAACTGGAGGCCATCAGGGCCATCCAGGTTGAATTTCTTCACATCTGATAAGATGACCTTGTCCCATTTTGGGCCAAAGTCGACATGCTCCTTGGCCCAGTTGACTCGCGCTTGTTTGTGGGCCTTGGTCAGACGCGGGGTGGTCTTTCGCTTCTTGTATACGAAGCACTTAGAGCGCTGAAGCACCCGACGTAATGTCCGCGCCGTGACGTCGAGTTGGAGGTCGTGTTGGATCTTGGACGAGCTGCTTATTCCTTCCGATGCTTCTCGGAGTACACGACGAACGTCACGCGCTGCCAGTTTGAGAGGCCGCCCTGGAATGGGCTTCGTTCCGTAGGTGTCGGAGTTCTTGATGTAGTTGGCGACGGCTCCCTTCGACAAGTAGAGCTCGGCGGCAATCTTTCGAATGGGCCATTTTGCCTTGCGAAAGGCAAGAATCGCTCGACGCTCGTGCAGGGTTAAACGCTCGCCTTGTGCCATGTCTAATGCATGCATACATGAGTGTTATTGTCTATGTATGTTTCGAGCTATCATACACGTCTATCGCAGGTAGCTGGACGATCGACGAGAGCATGCAACTGCGTAAATGGTCTGTGTACCAATGTATTTTATCCAGTGTATCGTTCGAACTTTTTTTAACATTACTCAGCACGTATACAACGTGCCTGTAATATAAATATACCAACGTATTCGTCTCTTTCATTGGATGAAGCTGATCCTTAACGCGTGTTGATTGGACAAATATTGAACAAGTTGCAAGTAAAAATCAAGTGTACCAACCCTTTTTGTCCAGCACTGTAGTTTTGCTTATGGGAGTCGAGTTGCGAAACGACTATATTTGGTCTCCCACTCCATTTCCCAGACAACCGGATAATGCTATGGGAATGGGAAAT